ATATACCATACTACACTAGAGATGGGCTGATTAATTGTGCTGATTTATGTCATTTTGAAACAACTGGCAAAGGCAGATGCCAATTCATAATGTCTGCAGACACTGCAGGCAGCTGTGTCTTCGTGAGGCCGCTCAACTCCCCTCTAAATGATCATTTCCTTCTCCTAAGTGACAGCATATCAAATCTAAAGCAGTTTAAAATCTTTTCCTTTTTTTTTTTTTATTTTACTGTCTGAAAAACAATTGAGAGTTAAAAAAGTCTGTGTTGGAGAGGGTCAGGGTGACTTGAGAGAAAGACCTAAATCCAGGAGTCCACGTCTTGGAAAAGTTGTCTTTTTCTGTAGTTGTATACAAATGTCAAAGCCTAAAATATACATTTATTATAAACACTTGTTATTTAATACACTTATTTTGACCTAAACTATGATTCTCTCCAAGTTTCACAGCATTCATGAACACTTTGAAAACCTGCAAGCAGTTCGGTGAAACAATGAGGACATCTAGATCTAGTTTAATTTTAAAATGAGACTCTTAACATGCAGTTATCAAACACACTTTTGAGTTTCAATAAAATGCAGTAAGTGTTTAAAATAACCGGCAGTCTTCATCACAGCTGTGTTTGACTATTGTGGAAAAAGACAGAGTTGAAACCCAATTAAAACAAGTGCTAATAATATCAGTGTGTGTGTCTGCTGGATATGTAAAATAGTAAATGCATGAAGTAAAAGGTCATAATATGTCAGGAATGTTTTTGCTGTCCCAAGAGGACAAATATTCAGCATTTAAAATACAAGCTTATATGTCCAGCTTCAGAATACAGCAATAAATTGTCTGTGTCTTAAATCATTTAATAAATCCCTATAAGCATTGAAAGTAAACAGTTTCTGAAAGGTGAAAACACAGACTGAAGGGGAGATAAGGCAGAGAAAGAACTGAAAGCAGATGGCTAAAGATGAAGGTCAAAACAGATTGAGAAGTTTGTCAAAATTTGATGACATAAGCAATCTGTAAGCAGTTATTGCACCCGAGCTGAAGGTACAGAGAAACATATTGAAATTCCAAAAAAACACTGCAGCTGCCAGCACACTGCCAGGAATGATTGCCCCCAGTGTTTTTTTTCTTACTTCCCTCTCTCTCTTTCTCTCTCTCTCACCCTCTCCCTCTCTTTCTACCCCCCCTCACATGCATGGCTGCCTGCCAGATGTGTAGAGAGGCATATCTGGATTTAATGATATTACAAATGCCTTTCTTTATGCTCAATAATAACTCAATTTTGATTGATACACCACTCTCTGCGCCTTATCTTGATACAAATAGAGTTGTCTGTCATCCCGCATTGAGTCATCAATTTGAGGCGGTGATGAGGCTCGTTTGCCGTACCTAATCATGTGTCTCGTCGGGAAGCCTCTAAGGCCCATCAGATAGCACTTGTAAATACTCGCAGCAGCACAAGCTCTCAGGGAGTGGGTCCCATTATTGCCTGCACTCTTAGCAATGTCCGACTCTCTTTGTACATAAAGCAAAAAGCCTGGAATAAATCATGCAGTACACCCACATTTCTATTGATTAAAGCCATTCCCATGCCTGCTTCTGCTGAATTGTCTGCAGAATAAAGAGCAGCTTTATATTTTTCTCCCTGTCAAAATGTTAGGTCATTCTATCAAGGCCAGTCAGCTCCATACCATCGCACAGTAAGTCCTCTGTTGAAAATACACAAGGAAGCAGAGAATAAAGCCTTGTATTTTCTGCCATGAGGACCTGCAAAGAAATAAGAGTCTTTTATTTTGTCCATTAGATATCATGACTCAGTACTTAAATTTAACACTACATTTAGACCTACTTTTCTTGACATCAAGTGGGAAAATTCAGACCAGAGCTTTGTTTGACGATTGACTCCTCTTGTCTGGCATTCAGGTAAAGTATAAAGTTATAGTCCTTTATAATAAATCCTTATTTTGTGACTAACAAATGAATGTTTATGCAGAATAAACTGAAATATTAATAGTTATACAGAAAAACAATGATTTGTATTTGAAGAAAAAAGATAAATCTATGCTCGTGCATGCTTCACATAAGGGACAATATATATAGTGAGCAGGTGGTTATACAAGTTGAAATTTTGATAGGGTGAGCAAGAGGCCTCACTACATCTTAATTTGCAAAGCCACCAGCTTATTCTACCTGATTCAGCTCATTTCCAATCTACCCTAAAAAGCAAATGTAGACATAAATGTTGGCATAAATGTTAAAAATGGAATGATTCACATCAAAGTGATCAAGACCTCTGCAGGAATAATATGTTCACATTTCTGTCCTCAGTCACCTCACCAAATGTCACAACTCTTGAAACCACAGATGAAACAACACACTAACCAACTCAGCCAATGTCTGGATTGCAGGACAGAATCTAGTTTTGCTTTTCTCACTCCACATGGTTGAGACCCAGTAGGTCCCACATTTCTATCCAATGAGTGTCATCATTCTCAGACTTTCAAGACCAGCTGAGATGGAAATTTAAATTTGTGCCACAGTGTCAACAAGTAGACAAGTAGAGTCCTAAATTCCAGTCATATGCTGTGTCTGAGTTGTAGCATTACCTCTCATCACTAGCCACCTCTATAGCGCTCTTCTACCAGGATGTAAACTTGGGTCTGAATGAACTTCTATCTAAATCCCCAAACTAGAGCAGGGTGTAACCGGCACAGCCATGTGGACATTAACCTAAAAGAACCTCTGCTTTTACAGTTTTCTGAATGTTTTCTGACATTTAAACAGTCAATAAGTCGAAACTTACATTTTCATTACAATGAATTAAGAACAAGTTATTACGCAATACTCCTAAGTTTTTTGACCAATCAGAATCCAGTATTTAGCACTTTGAGGTGATAGGTTATGACACATTTTAAACAATCTATTACATGTTTACGAGTAACTTAAATAGAAAGGTGACATAACGCCACAGCTGTAGAATTTGTTACATCTTAAAGCGATTGTCTTTTGTCTCTCTATTGGCAAGAATGACTCTACACCGGGAATGACGTTTCCAGTGTTATAACTTTTTAATTACTTTAAAAAGTGTATATGTTATCACAGAAGTGAATGTATCTTAATGAGACCAGTGCTGCCAGGCTCCTCTAAAACACTGTCTCCCATCTTTCTGCATCCTATACAATTATCCTGATGAGAACTTGAAAGAGCTGTGTTAATGTGGGAGTGTGAGAAGGCCCGTAGCCTATAGACCCTGCTTTCATTCATCTCACTAACATCAGGGAGCTCAAGCTTGGCGTCACTCAAAGCTTTTCTCCTTTGAAATTCCCCAGGCAGACCCACAAATTAAGCTCACTTCTGTTTGACCAAAGATGAGACCGGCCCTGAAGTAAGGCAGCTTTTCCCTCCCTTTTTCTCACCACAGTTTGCAATCTATCCCTCAGAACTCGCAGACGTTTAAATCTCTGCAAAATCTCTCTATTCACTGTCAGCCTGCGAGGAAGAAGCATATGGAGAAATTCTCTCAGTCCAAATTTCTGTCATGATCAAATACAGTTTGCTTGTGGATGTCACAGAGTGCAGCAGCAAGAATATTTTGTGCAAACATTAGAAGAGCTGTAAACAAATCTTGAAGCTGAATGTGACCAAAAAATGGAGACAAGTTTTGGGCAGCAAACAATTCTTGCCTTTAGGATGTGAACATGTACAGTAGGTCGGCTAGCTTGTGTATGGTATTGAAAAAGTGGCATTTCAATCCATAAATGTAAATTACCTGCTGCCTCATTTGTAATGATAATATATTGTTTGGATGAAGCTTGATTTCCAAAGAGGAAAAAAATATTTTTATATAAGCTGGTGGGTAGAATTTATTGATTGAGGATTCATAAATATTCATTAAAAAGTATGATTTTGAAATTGAAAACTTGTCCACAGAAACATCCATACAGTATTTTGAGTTAGGGTTATGTCCTCAGTTGGCAGCATGTGTGTGTGTGTGTCTGTATGTGTGTGTAAACACACGTCAAACCTCCCTAACTTGGAGGACATCTCATGACAAGCAATCACTCCTAATAGGATTCTTCTCCTGCAGAAAGATTCACAAGGAAAGATTACCACAGTCTATTCTGAGCACATTCAAAGGCAAGGGACCATGCAACTCCCCCCTTGCGAGTTCATTATCATTCTCAGGTTATCCCGGGCCCGGTGAATCTGGAACGCAAATGAATTAGTGAGAATTAAGAAGTCTCTGTGGTCTGAAACCTCTCCAAATCTCCTCCAAGATGAAAGGTACACAGCCACGGCTTATGCACCGTCGCTCTCCATTGCTTGAGCCCTATATCTACACACCTACCCCCACCCCCCTTCCCCTCCACAGCCTAACACACATGCAACCTCCTCTCCCAAAATGGAAATGATACGAGCACTTAATGTTGCCTTACGTCTCCTGACCGCAGGTTTTGTCATGAGGGAGAAGAAAGTTGCAGGACGGAGGCTCGCCGTCGCTGGCGATTAATTACAACAGAGTGGTGCTGGCACTTCGACATTGGTTGATCCCTCTGCAGGCAGGGGCTCCCTCTCATCTCAGCCTCTCTGTAGCCTTCAAAGGGCTCTCCACTGCCTGCAAGACTGAACCCAGGCCAGGTAAGAAAGATGCCATGGCTCCATTGTGACTGCACTTCACAGATTTCAATGGGACTTCAGGTGTAGAAGGTGTCAGTATCACTCCGCCATACTCTAGTTTGGTATTACAGACAGAGAGCTGAGAGAAGATGAGGTTCCTAGATAAAAAACACATGAAACTATATAAGCAGCTGATCGATTATTATGATCATTTTGATACTAAAGTATCATTTTTCAATGCGTCTTTTGTGTCGAGAATAAAAAAGTCTCCATATTTGCCCAACACCAAATTCCTATATGTGCTTCCCCACCATTTTCCCTGCGACAAAAGAGATGAAATATAGTAATGGTCTGTCTGTGCTCAGTATTTTTCCCCTCCTTCCCTCCCCGTCATGCAGGCCCGGGGTCTTTGTAACAGACTGCAGAGGCTGCCTCTCTCCCTCAGCTCATTCAGCATCACACCCTGCCCTTGTGCTGGACATCAAATGACCAGCTCACCCCCCGAGGAGCTCTCAAGTTTCTTCATTTTCAGCAGCCGCCTGGCTCTCCCCTGGTCAGCAGCCGGCCACGCAGGGAAAGAGGGGGGGGACATCTGCCTGTCTGAGGATAAGGGACAAGGCTGGCTCACTATCCGTCTGTCAGCCCCCCTCAGACTGGACCCCGGCGTGCACGTCACCACTCCGCTCCCCTCCTTGTTATTCTGGAGAGGAGGCGGGGATCTGATATGTGGCATTGTTTGTGCCACGCTGGTCAGAAAGACAGAGGAGGCTCATGCAAAAAAATAATGCTGCATGTTTGCTGCAAAATGCTTTAAGCACATTGTAAGAGCAGAATTATTCATCTGTGTGACAGTCCACTAACACGAGCACAAATCTGTCTGCAAATTGAAAGTCATGTGTGGTAACTGTTAAGTGGATCGTCTTTCCTGTGCTGATGTAAACATGTTCCATTAACGATTATTCTCTAATGATTATCTCTATCTAATTACATGCGGTTTACTCCATCCTGTTCCATCAAAGGGAGGCACAGGGATCGATGGAGACATATTTGCATAAAAATCTATTTCGGCGTTAAGCGAAGGATCAGGCCTGAGCTCCCTGGATAAAGATGCCCTCCTGCAAATATAACCTGCAAAGTAATTTGTTTGCTTCCTAAACTTAATATTTGTTCTCTCCCTCTTGCTGATGCAGAAACGAGGTTAAAGTGGCTACAGGAAGTGAGGACACATATACAAATGTTAATTACCCCTCAAGATGGTAGCCTGCTGCTTAAGATTCTCTTTAATTGGATTATATGGGAACTATAATACATCTATTAGGAATTTCTGCAAGTTTTTAAGCTCAGCATTTGCAGAAAATGGTTGCACTGTATGCTAAAACTTATCATACTCATTTGTGCCAAAGCTAAACAGAACAATGGTTGGAATCCGACACCCCGGTGCACGGAGAGAGGCAGCGTACTGTAAATGATCCTGAGCGGTTGACTGCTGGCCAGCAGCCACGTCTATATGAGCAGAGGAGGAGCGCACACCTCCTGGACCGAGCCGGAGGTGAAGGAGAGAGTATCACACTCTCCTTGTCAGCTGCAAGGGTAATTACTGCTGGCTGAAATTACTCAACATTTGTTTATTAGCTCCCCAGAGCACACTGTAAATAGATTGTCTGTTATAGTCCGATCACATTAAAACACCCCCCTTCCTCCTCCTCCTCCTCCTGCCTCCTGTTTGCTGTAAGCCAGCCTGCTGCTCACTTATTGAACAGCTCCAACCAAGGAGCCATGTTAAATGTGATTGTTTTCCATTAGCTACATCCTGTCTAATACCTCACTTGTTCAGCGCAATTACTGGATTCTGCCATGCAACATAACCTTCATTAGCTGACTGTAGAGTCCTGCAGCTCCAAAAGCTCCCTGCCACATTTTCATCTTTTTTATTCATGAATGGGGAGTGTTTTAATTCAATATTGATTTCTGCATAGACATCCTGTGCCTATGCTTTGTGCACTGCATGGTTACGGTTCTTTAAGTGTATGCAGTGATGGACAAAAAAGAAAAAAATATCAACAGGCCGTGTCTTTCCTTGTATTCCTCGTGCTGGTTTGGTTCCTGCCAAAGATGACATTCTGAAACATTTGACCCGCTAAAAATGAATTCTTGGCCAGAGCCCGGTGACAGAGGAGAGCAATTCATTCCCCGAAAATGTGAGCAGATAAAAAGCAGCGGCATGCAATAGTGCTGTCAAAAGAGTGGAGAGAGAGAGAGCAGGTGAGAGATGTGGGGGAAAAAAATGGAGAAATTGAGTATATTAATATGAATAAAAAATGTGAATGGGATTTGTATTCACTGCTGTCTGTCTGTGCAGGAATCCTTTCACACAGTTTGAAACATTATACTAGAATAACTCACCCGCGGAATACACTGCAACACTGTGGTGATAATAGCCCAAATGTTGTTCCACAGACACAGACATTTGTAACCGAGATATTTAGCTCTAAAATGGACTAAAGCAGCATGCTTTGTGTGCCTGTGACAGGTAGAGCACGGCTCCCTGGGAACCAGAGTAATAAAAACGCTATCTTTCTGTGGCATCTTCCTTTTTTCTCTAATGTTGCCCTAATAAAAGCAACCACTGAGGTGACTGTGCGCAAATAAGGGCCTAAAGCTGCTGGACATCTATCCCAGCCCCCTGGAGCCACATTACACACACCTAATGGCCACTCCAAGCTTCATTAGGATATTAATTCTCCCCGTTTCTGAAGTGATTCCATCTGTAATGTGACAGTATCTGGCTGCTAGCGAGACAACTTGTTGTTATTGTCGTCCCTCTCCCTTCGTTCCACTCATTTTATCCTCTGCCCCCTCTCTCCACCCCCTTCCTTTTCTAAGCATATTGTTATTCTTATAACGCCACTGTCTCAGTTTTTCTAGCAGAGAAATCTGATAATACTGAGTGTCCTTTGAGATGGAGGCCAATGGAACGGCTCTGAGCGCTGCCAAAAAACTGAGCTCCATCTGACCAGGGGAGCAGATGGTCAGGTCCAGCCCGGGTCTGGGAAACTAGCAGCAATGCTAAACATTAGATGTCATTTTTTTTCCTTTTTTTTTTTTTTCTTTTTCCTTTTTTTTTGCATTTTTAAATACATATTAGCTTCTTCTACCTGCAGGATGTCAGCCTGCAGGATTCACAGCCAGCAGTCATGCAGAGTGAGTGTGGAATTGTTTTTCCTGAAGAGCTTTAGGAAAAATCATCAAAGGTAAAGTGAGGACAGCTCGAGTCAAAGTACCTTCAGACACTAAATACTGTACATTGACCTAGAGTTTGTACAAAGATAGATAAAGGACTGTTAAATAGATGTAACATAAGGGTATTTTAAAGAAAAAAATTGTAGCATATGATTGAAAAGATACAGGCTCTTTAAATGACAGAGCAAAGTCAACTTCCTATAGTTACTGCAGCACTGTGATAATGTACACTCACCGGCCACTTTATTAGGTACACCTGTCCAACTGCTCGTTAACACTTAAGTTCTAATCAGCCAATCACATGGCGGCAACTTAGTGCATTTAGGCATGTAGACATGGTCAAGACAATCTCCTGCAGTTCAAACCGAGCATCAGTATGGGGAAGAAAGGTGATTTGATTGACTTTGAACGTGGCATGGTTGTTGGTGCCAAAAGGGGTGGTCTGAGTATTTCAGAAACTGCTGATCTACTGGGATTTTCACGCACAACCATCTCTAGGGTTTACAGAGAATGGTCCGAAAAAGAAAAAATATCCAGTGAGCGGCAGTTCTGTGGGCGGAAATGCCTTGTTGATGCCAGAGGTCAGAGGAGAATGGCCAGACTGGTTCGAGCTGATAGAAAGGCAACAGTGACTCAAATAACCACCCATTACAACCAAGGTAGGCAGAAGAGCATCTCTGAACGCACAGTACGTCGAACTTTGAGGCAGATGGGCTACAGCAGCAGAAGACCACGCCGGGTGCCACTCCTTTCAGCTAAGAACAGGAAACTGAGGCTACAATTTGCACAAGCTCATCGAAATTGGACAATAGAAGATTGGAAAAACGTTGCCTGGTCTGATGAGTCTCAATTTCTGCTGCGACATTCGGATGGTAGGGTCAGAATTTGGCGTCAACAACATGAAAGCATGGATCCATCCTGCCTTGTATCAACGGTTCAGGCTGGTGGTGGTGGTGTCATGGTGTGGGGAATATTTTCTTGGCACTCTTTGGGCCCCTTGGTACCAATTGAGCATCGTTGCAACGCCACAGCCTACCTGAGTATTGTTGCTGACCATGTCCATCCCTTTATGACCACAATGTACCCAACTTCTGATGGCTACTTTCAGCAGGATAATGCGTCATGTCATAAAGCTGGAATCATCTCAGACTGGTTTCTTGAACATGACAATGAGTTCACTGTACTCAAATGGCCTCCACAGTCACCAGATCTCAATCCAATAGAGCATCTTTGGGATGTGGTGGAACGGGAGATTCGCATCATGGATGTGCAGCCGACAAATCTGCGGCAACTGTGTGATGCCATCATGTCAATATGGACCAAGCTCTCTGAGGAATGCTTCCAGCACCTTGTTGAATCTATGCCACGAAGAATTGAGGCAGTTCTGAAGGCAAAAGGGGGTCTAACCCGTTACTAGCATGGTGTACCTAATAAAGTGGCCGGTGAGTGTATAAAGACTTTCACATGCAGGTTATAAACTGTCAGAGACCTGTTAGATCATACGGATAAACACCTTCTTTTTTTTTGTTTGTAAAGCAGTAAAGGATCCTTCATGAACAGGGTAACAACTTTTCAGCTGTGCAAATGCATGATAGAAATTGAAAAAATAAAGTGACAAGGTAACAAGCTGGATAGAAAACTATAAGAAGTTAAAACTCAGCTTTTGACCAAGTATGTCACAGCTGAGTTTTACACTGAGCCTTTGGTTCATTAGCATGTGCAATAATGTGCTTTCAATATCTTATACACTGACTTTAATCTGAGCAGTTTACCACTTTTCTCTGTTATCCTTTAATTAATCAGAGCTAATTAAGTGTTGAAAACACATTATGTGACGTGAAGGACAAATACACAGAAACTTTAAGTTAAAGCTTATACAATATTTTTTATTCATTACACTTAATGCGATGTTAAACAGGGTTATCACACACTGCAGATTTTATAATAATAATAATGCTAAACAATAATAAATAAGGTCATTTAAAACATCATGTATATGAATACAGATTAAAAACTTTGATACCTACTGCACTATTTAACACATGCACTATTTCAAAATGTGTCTAAATCATGGCTAAAAAAGTTGCAACATCTTTTTGAGGATGAGAAATTATGAAATTTTAATGTAAAATGTTCAGAGGTAAATATTCCACCTTTGCAAATCTAACCATTTTTAGTGTTTTTACTGTTTTGTAAAAAGATATCTAGAAAAGTCTGAGCACGCATTTCCAAAAATTATCAGTTTTTTCTTAATCAAAACACTTAGAATAACCTTAATTTTGTTTGAATTATAAAAAAAATACTCAACTATGCAGTGAGGGGTTAACTCAAAGGCAAAATATATTCCATGTTTCAAGACTTTTATTCCATCTCCGCCTTCACACCAATTAAACCTGAAACCTAAAACCTCTCCTCCAGTGTGATCCTATCACTTCACTGCTCACATCCTATATCTTGAAATAACAGCTGTTTCCCTGAGAATATCAAAGTAGGAGGAAATGAATAAGAAATATTTAAAATGCAAAGAAATTATGCTCTTGTTTAA